GCAATCTACTGTCAACAGCTTGAGTTACAGTGAAAAATAGAAAATAAACACACACACACACACACACACACACACACATGAGTTCCATTCAGGAACGCTCAGGTGAACAAGCTCTATCAGCTGTTTAACATCTTAAACCTGAAATACCTGCTCTAGTAGGAAGTTATGAAGCAAAAATATTTGAATGCTGCAAAGACAAAAAAGCTAAAATTTCGAAGTTAGACAACATAGATTAGGTCATTTTGAAAGATTAAGGTGTTTAATTCCCCTTTTAATCTTCCAATTTCCCGGCACAAAATATTAGCTTTCTATGGCAACCAAAAGATTAAAACTTCGTATTTGTTATGTCCTAATAAATGCTTTAGACTTTTTCCGTCGGCCGCATATTTTTGTGGGACACTTCATCAATGACCAAATAGAAAACCTGCTATAGAACCCTACTCAGAAATATTTAGCTATTAAAGTTCAAACGAATTATGCTAGAGTCATCTGATAACTAATGGCTTTGCCAACATTACACTTCGCTATCAATACAAGTAGCGAATAAACGTATTCCGTGCTACACGTCTGTTTCCCTTAGAGCTGGGCTATAGTTTAGCTTGTCCTGGAAGTCTAGCTAGATGTTGGAGAATCTGCCATAGAGATTTCTGAGTCGGTCAGGCTTTACTAGCGTAGCAATCCGCTACATTTTGTTTGCTTCACAATATCCCACTGAAAGTATTCCCGTATCGAAGAAGAAGAGAATTTCTTGCACAGTTCAGGTGACACTATCTTTTCTACCATTAAACGATTTTAAAATTTGTCTGGCTGCTAAATTGCAAACGAACACTCACCTTTATTCCTTAAAGCCAGAATCCAGGTACAACTCCCCACAATATAAGAACCCATAGCTGTCCGCTAAATAATTCAAGACAAGAAGATGCCAGAATTTTTGACCTCCATATAAGCCTTAAGAAACCGTCAAAATTCAGGATTAAACATTTGGAATTTCTTCTTTTCTTCATTTCATTAAAGGTAATAATGGGATTTATCCACTTTCACGATTAATAGTTCTACTCTAAAACTAGCAGAATTGCAATGACCTTAGAGGTTAACTGGTAAAAATCGGAACACACGCATAAATGAGTTATTCTAACCCATTTCGGGAGAAACAGAACCAATCTTATTCCGATGTCTTGCTAGCCACTGAAATTAAATGCCACTCAGATTCGGATAACGAAATTAGATTAAAGAGTTATCAATTAGAAAAACATGTACAATATTTGAAGTTCCAGTTAATCATTGTTAATTTGAATTAATTGTTAATCCAGCTATTATTTTTATTATTAGCTATTTACACTTCCCAATAAAATACCAAATTTGGGTAAATACTTTGGCCGTTGCACGTTCAGTTAAGCGTTTTAGGGGCCGATTAAACTTGATAGAAGTGACTATCTATAGACAACACTCTAATATGGCATTTGTGCTAACTCTTGCTTCCGCACTGAATAGAGGAATCGGTATGAACATGAACCAACATGGGGGTCTAATTTCATGTTCTTCTGGGGTCAACTTGGAAATTAAATGGAGAAGAGAATGGTAGCATTGAGAAGCCGAATGACCAGATTTGGAGATGTCCTTAAAGTTTGGTTCACAGGCGGTGCTAGTAATTGCCAATTTACGACTAATTCTAAGTTAAGTTCTAATGATTTAGTGACGTTCCTCTTTGCTAGAAGACGAAACCATTACTATCATCCATAATAGAAAAAAAGAATGCTGTTAACTAAATTGGTATACACACGTCATAGCATAATAATGACTCTATAGAGGAGGCCCATTGCTGTACAAAATATCTCAAATATTTCATCTGCTGTACATAAGATAGAATCACTCCATGTATACAAATTGAACCCAATTATTTGCATCCCCCTAACATTGAACATTCATACTTAAAACTAGGGAAAAAACGGGGAGGAAACTACTCACCAGTGTTAGGCGGCACTAACGAGGATCCAATGTTGACACAAAGAAAGGATCCTGTTCCAAGAGTGAGTTTAGCATCGCCAACATTCAAGCAGCCCTCGCCAAGCATTGCGGCTTGGGAATCGCCAATCAAAGCTGTCACGCGAACTCTACGAGAACTTGATTTGCTGGAGTCATTTCCAATATCTGCTAGAGGTCCGCAGCGCACCTCACCGAAGAATGTGCTTCAAATTTCCATTAAAATAAATAATCAATAGACCTAACACTTGGACAGTTTATAATAATAATAATAAAGCGATATTATATCAAAGTAACGTTAGTAAACTTATTTCTTAGAAAGTATTTGTAAGGAGTTTGAAGATATTAATACAAATTCCAAATTAAAGCAAACTAACAAACTAATGCTGTGTCACTGAAATGGCAGGGTTAACTATGTTCTAGCTCTAATCCCCCCCCCCTCCTCCTTTTATCAGTTAAACGCTATTTTACCAGCGGCGAAACATTTTAACTAAGCATTTAGGAGAGCAAGTGGAGGTTATTCGCCGAAGTTGAGTCTATACGGCCTTCGTCTTCGGGATTCGGGTAAACATATTAATCAATAAGGGATGAGACTAATATGTCAAAAAGTAAATACAAGAATACAGTTGGAATAATCCTGAAATGCATATGAGAATGAAGCAAGTAATCAAAAATATTAATCCACCAATTTAAATCAAAACTTTTGTTCAGAGTTTTATACACATATTTATCTGATTGGCAGCACGTCTTCCTACAATCAACTGCCACAGGTTTCGACTCCCATCGAATTGACAGATCTTAACTTAAACGACATGGCTAATTATTTAACACAGTTGTACTTTTGCCTTGGCGAAAAGTACACTTTCTTGTCATGTGTGAAGTGGGTTGCCGATATAGCTCATTACCACGAAGTTCGAACAAAAATTGATAATCCATCATGTTTATCCAACTTAATTCTCCAACGTCAAAGTCATATTAGCTCGTATCCTCTCAATAGTAACTTGTCAATGGAAGAAAAATAAGCCGAAAGTGATTATTCGAATTAATTGGTTTATATGCTCCAGACGCTGTAAACACGGAATTGCGAAGGAAGCGCTGGAATTTGAAGCATTAAGTACTCCTTTCGATTTCCTTCAACTAAATCGTATTACATTGATCTATTGTTAATTGAATTCGGGACGATAGCTTCCCTAGATAGAGTGTTATCAGCTTTTTTGACCTTGGATATGATAATAGTTCAAATAGACTAGACACAAAAGAGAAATTGACACTCTCTGAGGGCAAAGAGAGTGAATGAAACGAAATTTGCACATATTGTCTTTCGCGATTACCACTGAAATGAGGCATTGTCAGCCAAATAAATTCTATATAGACAAATAGGCCTTTATTGATAAGGGGAGGAGAACTAAAACGATTTGACAGCATGTGCACAACCAACGACTAAAGCAACTTTCATGCATAGGTCGATTTTGGCAAAACTTAGCTCCAGATACGAAATCTACATTAAAACTCTCAATGTAGATATGACACTTAAGTGATTGAGTTGCTATTGAGACAAATGAGACAAGACACAAATAAGACATTGATGAGGAACTGGGCATCAGGAGAGTGAATAATTTTGGCTCATATGAATGAAATTTGCAAGCCCCATCTCGTTTGCGTTGATTACGTAGCCAATTAGTCCAGTTTATTAGAAATCAATTAAAAAACATTTGTCTACATAGTAAGAGTAAATGAAACAGTCTTGTGTTATAGAGATCTTCCCCAGTCTTTCCTTCAGGTCTGGAAAACGGTATATCAGTGTTGACTTTATCATATCTGTCTAAATAACCATACTTGCCAATACTATTAACTTTGATTATTTTAGTAATTTTCGAATTACTCAGGACTTGTGTGACACCTACGTACTATAAGGGGGTAATGGCAGACAATTCTGTAGTAAAAGCAAACACTTAGACCATAGAATGCAATTTAGTGGTGATATGACGAATAGAAAAATAAGGTCTTATTGAGAAGTGAAATCAACCAAATATCAAATATGCATATAAATTAACTCAATAAGCACATTAAATGTATCAAGTTTGACGTATTTCATGAATAAGGTGCGATTGAAATGAGATAATTATTAGCGAGGCTCAAATAAATCTGCATAAAAATTACTAAATTAAAATAAGAATCAACTTTAGGAGACAAATATTTATTTGAAATTCCGATGCAATAAAAGGAGATACTCACCAAGTTGGACAAATTGGCGGAAATATTTTGGGAGAAATTTTAAGGAAGTTTAACACCATTGGGCTTAGACGAAGCTGAAATGTGAATTAAAATTATATCTTAACAGTTAATGGTGCACTTCTTCTATGGGGATGAGTTCGAAGCAAACTAAAATGTAGCTAAACATTCGAAAAAATTACAAGAATAATCATTCTCCCCCCCTCCCACATTTTTAAGTGTCATTCCGCATGATAGACTTAAGGGATAAGCATACTTCCTAAGAAGGAAGATTGTAGGGTAGGTTCCTCCAAAAATGTTCTTAAATACTAGTATTCTACTCAAAAAAGGAATCAGTAACATGGTTTAACTTACAATCGACGGATCAAAGGCACCGGAAGCGCTAGAACAACTGGCATCGGTACACCAGGCTCGACCTCCTGTTAATCGCCATAGTAACCAAGTTTCTAAGCAGCCGAAGACAAGCTCACCTTTTCTGCACTTCTCATACAGCTGGAGGGACAAAAAATTTGCAATAAATAGGGCACGAAAAAGCATGTTCCTGCTCCATTAGTCAAATAAATTAGGCTTTGCTCCCGAGAAGCGCTTTATTTCGTGATGTAGGTTGAAATATGTGCCTAAGTTAAAATGTCAGAGACAAAATGAATCAAAATTACAAAGACCATTCCACTAAACAGGGCCGAATTCATTACACTTCAATTAGTTTTTAACCTGCCAAATTGAATACTAGAAAATAAAAAAAGGTCTGCCTAACTCCCATTTGGTATGAAAAATAATACTTAGGATAAATCGACTAAGTTAAAATAAAACTATACAAAGTACATAAAACATACTGTTGGATCTTCTTTAAACATGTGTGCAAGACGAGTAACAGAGAATATGCAGGTCAGCTGATAATGAGAGATCATTTTGAATTTCGCGAAATGAGAAATTTTGTAAAGAAACCTGCCGCTTTTATTCAAAAGCTGGAATACATTGAATGTGAAAATCAAATTCGAGATGAATAAATAAGCATAATATGCCAAGAATTTAATAAAACTTGCCTTAACAAAGTGAGAGTTATTCCGATTTGAGGCATATGATGAAGCAGTATTTTCCTGCCAAGTAGAAAGTCGAGTAACGGGAAGTGATGTTTCTCTATAAAAATGAGCATATTTCGAGAAGATGGAGTTTCCTACCTATTCCAGAGAAGGAAAGTGTTCCTCTGAACAGAAATACCAAGACCATTCAAATCAATAGGACGAACACAAGCACCTAATATTACATGATAACTACAATAGAGGGGTTACGTTTTAAAACATCTTCAAAGAGATCGTTCATCACAGTCCAACAGACCTCTGGATCGGTGGTTTTACTTGACATTACTGATTCTGCTAGCTAAAAAAGAATGATAAAATCGAATTATATGTTTACATTTTCACATTTATCGTTATAAATACGGGCGAAAGCGTGTGTACTGCCGAAATCGACTGCCAAAATACAATTTTCCGGAGAACCGTTTTCGTCAGTTTGCATTATCTAAAATTAAGCAAAGACGTATTTCAGTGAAATAAAACACAAACTTAATGTTGCTCACATTTCCTAACAAATATTATATGGAATACGAAAACATAGACCACGACCTTAGATAAAATTAATCGGTGAGAAAAGATTTCGTTTGCAAAAATAATAATGATAAAATGATGAAATATCTCGAGAAGATGTTAGTAAATAAAATTTAGATGTTGAATAAGGTTGCGTTTATTCATCAGATATACATAGGCACACAATAATCGTTAAAAAGGGTGTTTTTGGAAACGAAGCTAAATAACAAGGACGTTTGAATATTTGTGTTTCACGTAAATTAACACCTTTTAATAAACGCAGTTAAAGCAACATTGTAAATTTTAGTAGAAATTTTGATTATTTTTCCTTATATTTTAGATGGTGATAGTTATAATATTTGGTTTAATATGGATCAATTATAGATGGATTACGATAATACTTATTGATAACTAAAATCTTCCAAATTCCTTAAAGGTTTTGCTTCATAAAAATAAATTTTAATATTATTTTGAAACAAAAATTATATATAGTAACGAGTTTTAGCGAGCAGATCTACAATAAGTCAATTTATTTGTGTTAATTGAAAGGGTCCACCTGTTATTTCCCAACTTTAATTGAATTAAAAAGTTTTCAATGTATTCTATTTATGAAAGGGGTAGCACGGTCTAGCGGAATCTAAAGTAGTTTTAACACATGTTTAGCCTTTGGATAATTAATAATAATAATAGCCAAGTTAATAATACGGTTAAATTGGTAGCAATGGTCATTTCCATTAAGCTCCAAAAGAAATGAAGTTACCATTGAGAGGGATATCTGTGGATTTAGCCTAATAATGACTGAAGTCTGAGTAATTATCTGATAATTTCATAACAAGTTACAACGATGGGAAAGTTCTAGAGAGCAATCATTATTTCAGGCAGATACATTTAATGGAAGGCAGAGCTATGCTAGAACTATTTAAGAGCTATGTTTAATGGCGAACTGGTTTAATAGAGAATTATTGGATTGAAGAATATAGTTAATGCAGAAGGCGAAGTAATGAAACAAAATTGAAATTTTTCTGGGTTAGTAATCTTGTTGTAGTCATTTCTTGTGCTATGTTGGTCTACAGAAGACATAGGGTGCTGCCGATTTTAGAAGACTTTGAACACCCTGTTGAATACCGAGTATTTGCAATATCTAAGGCCATTAACCTGTCTATTGCGAGGGAGTCTAATTTAGCAATTAAACCCCTATTCTATTTTTCATATATATTAGCTTACTTAAAATTGACTCCTTTCACTCCATTCGATTCTTAATATACTCACCTGAAGATTGAAATATCTTAATAAATAGCAATTTTTATAACATAGTCTTAACTCAACAATAATAATCTATCAGTTTTATGGGTACGAAGTCAAAATGTTAAACAAGTGCTTCCTTCATCTAGTTAATATATTTATTTTTTTCAAAAGGCTTGCGTTTTGGTAATTATCATTAGCCATTTAGTTGACTTCGGGCTTTACAGAGAGAAGGAGGAACATCAAAGTGCCAAAAAGTGAAGAGGGGGAACAGAAGAGTGATTCAATGATGTTAAAGAGACATACAGACAGACAAAAGGGCAAAGAAAAGGTAAGATGAGTACTGTGAAAGGGGTCGAATAAGGCACACAGTGGGGTGATGGTAGCTTGAAGTGAGAAGTCAACTGCCAGTTAATAGACTTTTTTGCACCAGGGTGCACCACGAGGAGGTAAGTCCATCACACACCCCCATCTGGCCAATATAAAGTTGTGTTGACCTGTAACGATTTCCATATCTGATTTTATCACCTTTTGGTTGTAATCTGTGGAACTATTAAAATTAGACTGTTTTTCTTGGTGCTGAAAACAAAGTCGATAGCGTTGTAGATGAGGCTTCTC